TGCCGCGCGCAGCGCGAAACGGAGCGCGGCGCCCCCTGGCGGAGGGAGGGAGGGAGACACGGCCGGGACACACCGGGATAACCGCGGGATACAGCCCGGGATAACCCCGGGATACAGCCCGGGATAACACCGGGACAACCCAGGGATACAGACCGGGATAACTCAGGATAACCCCTGGATAACCCCGGGATACAGCCCGGGATAACACCGGGACAACCCAGGGATACAGACCGGGATAACTCAGGATAACCCCTGGATAACCCAGGGATACAGACCAGGATAACACTGGGACAACCCAGGGATACAGACCGGGATAACCGCGGGATACAGCCTGGGATAACACCGGGATAACCCGAGATACAGACCGGGATAACCAAGGGATAACCACGGCATACAGCCCGGGATAACCCCTGGATAACCCAAGGATACAGCCCAGGATATAGCCCGGAATAGCCCAGGGATACAGCCTGGGATAACACCGAGATACAGCCTGGGATAACCCCTGGAATAACCCCGGGATACACACCCATGGGGTTAAGACATGGTGAATGATTTGTTTAGAACCCAAGTCCACGTTCCAGAGAAACTCCTGTGTATTGAGAGCTCCTCCCTAAGAAAATAAACCAATGACTTCCACTGAGTGACCCACAGATACTTGGTTCAATAGAGCTCTGAGCTGGAGGATCAGGGTGTCTCTCCCCTCTGCTCCCAATGTTTCTCCTTGAAAAGCCTTTTCCAGGCTGTTTTCCTGCCAGGCTCCCTTCAGTCAGCCATGGCAGCTCTGTTTGGAGGAACAGAAGAGCAGTGCAGGTCCCATGAACTGCTGGGGAAATGCAGCAATGCCTAATTAATGATTTTTACTGCTCTGGGAGACAGTCAGGAAAGAAATCTCTTGGAAAAGATTTGAATCAAAGCATCCAGTGAGGGAACAGAAGTGACCTAGTGGCAGAAGAGCCTAGCCAGGCTGGGGGGGCTTCATCCCTTTGTTTGTAGAAACAAAGCAAAAGGGCAAAGAAATAAAACAGATTGTATTTAAACTGAAGCATTCCTTATAAAACCCTGTGAGCACAGAGGGATTTAGGGTTGGAAAACCTCCCTGGGAGCAGCAGTGCCCCTGTGTGAGGCAGTGCAGCTCCATGGGACCACCTGCACCCACCCCACAGGCATGTGTCTGCAGGGACCATCAACTCAGCAACTCCTGCTCAGTAAGTTATTAACTCTGCATGAGACTTCAACGCTTTTCTGGCAGTTTTATTTACAGCCTCAGCATGTTGTGTAAAACACAGGAGTGGGCACAGACAGACACACAACATAGGTGCTTTAAACACTTAAATAAGTACAGTTTATTCCAAAGTCATTCTACACGCTACTTTTTCCATAAAAATATAAAAAATAGTTACTCTATTTTGCCTAAGCCAAGGTACTGCAGAGCTCTCCCAGCTGCGCTGCCGCTCCCCAAGGGCACTCCAGCAGCACACGGGGAAGTGCTGCTGCCAACTGCCTCCCCACCCAGCAGGAAAACAAACACCTCCCAGCCTGCCTCCAGCAATCCTCACCCTGGGATTCTGCTGTGGGTGGGTTTGGACTCTCTTCTCCCACCCCAGTCTGCACAGCCACAGCCTCAGAACACACTGGGCTGACCCTGCTGGAGGCTCTGACTCACCACGTGCCAACGCCATGGCCTGGAAATCCTGCACTGCACAAACATTTCTTGGGAAAATATCCAAAGGGAAAGCACTTTCCTCTGGGAATTTTCAATAAAGGAGTCTCCTTCCCTTACTGAGCACCCAGTGGAAGAGCTTCTTCCCTATGCCCTTGAAATCAGTGCCCAGGTGTGTTTGTGGCCTTACTGCCCATACTGTGTATGGAGCTCTGGCAACACCCACCAAGCCTTTCTCTCCCTCCAGGACACATTGAAGGTACAAAAAAAAGGCACAAAGATGAAACCCCTAAGCTGCCTGAGCCCTGCTGCACTCTCTGTGCACTGCTGCTCCCTGGCACAGCCCCCTGTGCCTCAGAAACATCAGAGCACATGAGCTAAGGACACAGGGCAGGGCAAAGCCTCTGGGCAGGACAAGTACTATATTGACCAGTACCAAATCACCACTAGTTCAGTTGGATGTTGCAGTTAAGACTGGAGCTGGAAGCATCAGGAAAAGCCATCAAAACACAAGCTCAGCAGCACAGAGTCCATGTGTCACCAGTGAGATGGATGGAAGGCCCTGGGTGTGCAACGTTGTGCATTCAGGTCCAACAATGGCCCAGCTCCACAGCAGCACTGGGAAACTTCTGCTGGGAACAGCTGAGAGGATTCTCTACATGGAAGTGAAGCTGTTGTTAACAGAGGCACAGCAACGATGCACAGCACAACCTGCAAGGAAAAGCCTTTGCTTTGCAGCATGTAAACATCCAGGTTGGAGCTTAGCTCAGAAATTAATCTGGTGATAGATTTTCCCCAACTAGAAAAGTAAAATCTTCCATAAAAGGCTAAACCACAAAAATACTCTTTGAGCGAGTGCCACGTGCCACTGAACACCTCCCATGTCTTGGGACAGCTATGCAGAACACTCAGAGTGAGCAGTGGGGCAGTTTGGCAGCTCTGTGCTGGGACACCTCGGCAGGGACATCACCCACTGACCAGCAGTTCTGGGCCTTCGGGGCTATTTCTTCTTCTTCTTCTTGGGGGGCTCATCTTCAGAGCTGCTGTCTGAGCTGCTGCTGCTGCTGGAGGAGGAGCTGGAGTCCGAGTCGAACTCGGAAGAGGAGGAGGAGCTGCTGGAGGATGGAGAGGAGGAGGAGGAGGAGGAGCTCTCATCGCTGTCGCTGTCAGAGGAGGAGGAGGAGGTAGAAGAGTCCTCGGAGTCCGATGAGGAGTCGCTGCCTGAGCTGTCACTGCTGCTGCTGCTGGAACTGGTCACACTCTTGGATCTGGGAGAAAACAAACAGCTGGGAACAGGCTGCCAGGGCCAGTGTCCATCACACAGTGTTCTCTCTGCTGTGTTGTAACCCACAGATCAATTAGCTGCCCTTAAACAATCTACAACAAATTTTTGTGCCCTTCCCTCCCCCTTTCCAGTCCTGGACAAACGGATTTTGGCCACTTGAGCATGAGAGTGACACCATGGACATGACACAAGCCAACAGGACTGCAGAGAAGCTGGCCAGGATCTTATTGCCAGCAGTGCTGAGGGTCCTCGGGGCCTTGGCTGCAGGAGCCTAATGTCCTGTGCTGCCAGAGCCCTGGGGAACAGACACAGCTCAGCTCCCCCTCAGCTCTGCTGTGCAGGGTGAGGTCCTGGCAGGGGAGAGGCACTGGAGGCTTCATCAGTGATTCCAAGGTCACAGCTGTGCTCAGGGAAACTGTTCTTAGATTACTCCTGGCAAAGGAACCCAAACTACCTGCCACTACAGGAGCCTTGTGCTCTCCAGCTGCAGGAGAAGGGGTGGGAGAATGATGAAGCAGCAAAGAGGATTTCTGTGTGCTCTGCACATTTTGGGCCATGTTTAGCCTGTACTGAGGTTGTTGCTCTCAAGATCAACATCTCTGATTAAGTGAGGTGATATGAACTCCAAGAAAGTGCAATTCAATTCTCCCATAGATCTTTCTCCACAGAAGGTGTGAAGGTATTGATTCACCTCCCTTCCCACCAAAGAAGCATGAAAAAATTAAGACAGAATAATGCAGAACCTTCTTCCCATTAGAAAATTCATGTAGCATTTTTTTCTCAGAGGGTTTGGTTAAAGAGAACTCAGGAAACACCTGTGCTAAGGTTCTTACAGAGAGAGATGCTTTTTCACCACTATCAGCTGACAGATGTGGCTGTGTAGGCACCACTCCAGCTCTGTAACACATCTGTGATGTGCTCTGTGTGTGCAGACACAGCAGCTGCTTATGACAGATCAATCCACAAGGGCTGGCTAAATACTAATCATCTGGAGAAAACTAGCCTTAAAGCAAGGAACACAAAACAAATGGGAGTAGTAGTTCCAGTGTAGCCAGTCCCATCAGATGGGCAGGAGAGTCAGGGGATCCCCTGGGTGGTAACTCTGAACCTCTCACAAATCCCAGGCAGCAGTCCATGGACACCCAGAGTTACCCCCTGAAACCCACAGAAGCATCACAGCATTGCACTGAGAGCTGCATGCATGGATCTGTGAGAGGAGACAGGTGCTTGCTCCCAGGTGATGCAGTGTGTGGCCTCACAAGAAGAGGATGGACATGGGAAAGGAAAATATACAGTGTGTGGCCTCACAGGAAGAGGATGGACATGGGAAAGGAAAATTCAAGGAGGATGGAGGTGGCAGCAAGGAAAATTCACCTACTGGACAATGCACTGTGACAATGCAGATGCCACAGATGGATGAGCTAAGATTTGTGGGTCACCACTGCCAAAGTACAACACTTCTCCAGCAGGAAATATTCCTTCTCCTCTTTCCAGGGTTACCCTGTGTGTGACCAGGCTGTCCCCTGCCCTGCTCCAACAGCCCAGGGGTCACCCACCCTGCAGCTCTGCCCACAGCCAAGGGGCTGAGGGCACAAGTGAACTAGAACACCACTGTGCCCCTCAGACAGGCAGATCTGTGTGCTCCAACACTCAGTGGGTTTTCCATGGACAACCAAAGTGTGCCAGGTGGGAATGCTGAGGCCAACGTGCAGCTCTGTGCCACCTGAGGCCACAGCACTGTGCAGGAGCAGCTGCTGTGCCTGAGCCTGTTCTTCTGGTTTAGCTTGAGCTCACTTACTGCTGTTTATACCAACACAAACACACTGTGTGAAAGGTTCCTGCTGCCACAGCCTGAACTTCCGCACAGCTTGATTCCAAACCTGGAATTAGATGTTCAGTTTGCTGAATTGCCCACATTTAACTTCCCATGTCATCACAGAAACATTGACAGCAAGCTCGCTGGAGTTTGTACTGATGGATTTGGAGTTGTCTAAACCAGGAGAATAGTAAGGCAGAGCAGGATGGGCAGGTGGGGCAATGACACATCACCAAACACCATGCCAGTCTTGCACAACTCTGCCAGAGACACTTGGTGAACTCTGGGGCAGAGACAGGAAGATTTCTGTGACTGATGCAAGGCCATGCAGAGGTAGGACAGGGAGAAAAGCAGAGTTTGGGACAGGGAGGAGCAGAACTTCTCCAGGTGTCTCACACAAAAGGCTCTAACTGGCCAGAAGCAGTAAAACCAAACCTGTTTGCACTGTTGACTCTCCCCACCCTCTCCCAAGCTGCACCACTGGTGCCACATACCTCTTCTTCTTGGTCTTCTTTTCCGCAGCACTTTCTCCAGCACTAATTAAGGGGGGAAAACGAATGGCTGTGATTAATGCAGTAGGAAAAGCAAATGAATAGCAGCAGAGTGGAGCTGAGTTTAACAGCAGCAAAGTGGTGTCCTGCTGGCACAGCCCAAAGGTCACTTGGCTGCAGCCCTGGGCAAAGCAGAGGCACAACAGAGCCACGAGGCAGGGCAGAAACACCAGCGATTCCCCTCTGACTCTCTGGGTGATTTCCTCTCCTCTTGTCTTCATTTTACACGGACAAACAGCATTTGGGGTGGGAGAGAAGAAAAGGACACAAAGGGTTGTGTATAACTATCTTTAGCAACAACTGAACTGACTGAAACAAAGGGAAAAACACTGAATTAACCCAAAGCTTTCACATTTCTTTCAAGCACAAAAAGACACAGAAAAAAATCTCTTGATATTGATCCTTTCCAGCTCTGTGTCTTTCAGACTCCCACGTGTTCACACACACACACACACAGCTTCAGTGGCCAACGACACAGAAGAAAGTTTCATTTAACCAAACACTATGGGATATTTTTTAACCCGTTTTCACTGCTGGACTGGGTTTTTTTAAACTAAGAAAATAAAGTCCTTTCAGCCCAACACACCAGTCATGTGCTGCTTTTGAGCTGTGTGACTCAAGCAGTGCCTCCTCACATCCCTTCGTGCCACTGAGCCATGAGAAGCTTGGTCATTGCCATGACCTAGGACACCTTTTTGCTCAACTGAATCCTATTATTAGGAGCCAACTTCAATGCATAGAAGTGAAACTGCAAATCTGCTTCACTCAGACATGAGGCAGCAACAGGTGTTTGGAAAGACTTCAGAAAGGGCAGAAAGTGTAACCTACACTGTATTCCAATAAAAGTATCTAATGTTGTCTGTATGCCACAAAAATGAGATTTTTCCCAATTTTTTATCTTAGGAAAACATTCTCATCACACAGAAAGGGTTTTTCTACACTCCCCACAGGCTCCTGTGGGCAAGAGCAAGATTCACTGATCCCCAGATTTCAACCCAAGTCCTGATCCCTCCTGTTACACTGACATTCCCAAGGCTTGTACCAGGTGTTGTTCAGGTAAGACAAGTCACTGAGAAACAGAACTGGACCCCAAGGAACCTCTCAGAGGACAGGACCCAACTCAGGGAGTGAGTCACCTGTGGCACAAGGCTATGCCTCCCTCTAGTGTTTACCCCATGGGTCCCTGCAGCTGTTCCTGCTCCCTGGGCCCTCCCAGGTGGGTGCTCAGCCCCACTGAGGGACACTCACTGCTCTCCATGGGCACCACACTAGCTCCAGAGCCACAAACCAGACTCAGACACCCTGGGTTGCATCCCATGCAGTGACATCACTCAGGAATGAGCATTCCCTCACCTCTCCACCCCTCCCAACTCCCACTCTAGGCTGGGCAGGCAGTGAGTAAGGTGAACTGACACCAGTGACACCACCACAGTGTCCACCAGTCCTGGGGTCAGCACTGGGCACAGGGAGGGATCCTGGCACAGCTGTGAAGGGTTAGTGCTGAACAGGCTGGGATGTGGCTGTCAGGAGTAAATATTGACCTCACTAGGCTGTGTTTGCCTCCTGGTTAATGATTTCTGAGTGGATGTATAAAGATAGGGACACAAGGACTCTGCAGCAGAGCTGTGGGAGACACAACTGCTCTGCAGACCAGGAAGAACCATCCAAAACAAGTGATATCAAAACAAAAGTGTGACCTAGGAAGTTGTTTGTGCCATGAAGAAAAAGCTTCATCCTTGGAAGCACAACACTGGCACCCAAGGAGCAGGATCCCTCCTGGCACAGCTAAGGAGCTTATGCTTACATAACCCTCTGACTGCTGCCCAATTTAACCAGGATTACACACAGCTCCCAGCTCAGGACTGCTCCCTCTTCCTTTGCAAGGTGACTTCTCACAGCACAAACCCCTCACACTGGGGGCTGTAACAGCCCCAAACCCTCTACTTTGGGCAGTTCTGTTGCTCCTAATGTTACCCCAACCTCAGACCAAGCACCAGGACCAGGCAACAAGGAATTTCACCCTCAATTAACCACCCTACAGTGAATCCAATTAACCTGCAGAATTCACCAGAAAAGAGGCACAAGGAAATAAATATAACTCCTAAACTTTGCCTCAAAACCTCAAGTCTCTGAACTCATCCAAACAAAGTAAGTTTCAGAGCCCAAACATTCCCACCCACAACACTGGGTGATCCCAGCTGCTTCAGAATTACTCACTGGCTCAAAACTGATTTCAAAATCTAACCTCTGACATCACTTATCAGAGGCTGCTGAGTCTCCACTCCAGTCAGTATCACCCTCTGACTCACAGCTGCTCCCTGAGCTGGCAGAGCTGGCAGAGCCCCAGGAGCCCTCAGAGCCAGAGGTGTACCCTGTGCTCTCATCAGGACAACAGCAGAAGGTGGGAACACTCCACAGCTCACATCCTGGCAGGGTGATGACCTACACACAGAGCTGGAAGTGGCAGTGACTGAGGTATGATCCCAGATCCTCAGTGATTCCAGCCTCAAGGGCAGTGAGTGGCACTGTTCCTCTGTGGGGCTGGGGCAGCAACTCTCCTGCTGCTGCTGTAACCAAACTGGAGCTGCAGTGGCAGAAGGGAATTCCCCACCCATAGGAATTTCATGGAAAGCTCATGTGCTGCACTGTTCTCCTCTGAAGCTGCTTGTGAAGGCAATTATTAAGCTTGGGGGAAGCTCTGAAATGTATCCAGAGCCAAGTGGAAAGGAAGTCACATGCCCCATGCAGAGTTTCACTGAGATCTCTGTGCTGAGCTGCACCTTCCACTTTCCCAGATGTCACAACAGGAAATCATTAGGCAATTCAGGGAGAGGTTGTTACTCTATGCTTGAGTTACACCACCTGATAACCAACTGCTCTTCCCCTGTCCCAGCACTGCAGTCACAGTGAGCAGCTCCCAGGGGCTGTGCTGGCCCAGGTCTGACTGCAAACCCGAGCAGAAGGCACAGAGTTCTTCTTGGCTACAAACACATCTTGTATCAGCACATTAACACAGGACGTCAAGGAGCCAAGGAATCCAGGAAAACATTCCATTACCAAAACGGCTCCAACTCATCTAACTTTGGCTTAGTGAACTTGTGCTGGTTACAGAAAGGCCAAAACTGATTTAGGTTTATTTCAGACCATTAGGAGTGAATGTAAGGCTAAAATTACATTAATTGGAATGTTAACTTTGATCCTGCGGGACCTGAGTGTGCAGATTCCACGCAACACAGAGCAGCTCTAACATTCAGCAGGTCAGTTCCTCACAGTCTGGAGGAGGAGATGACAGAAGGTGGTCTGGGACCACCTCTCCCCCCACATCCCAAATTCCCTTCTCCTTACAGACACTTTGCTCTGCCAATGTTACCTTTGTTGCAGCAGAAGTTGCTTCTCTTTCAGGATTTTGGCTAGCTGAGCTGTCCTCGAGGGTCTGTGCAGGTATTTCCTCTTCCCTGTGCATTCATACGTCCAATGGCCAAACTCCAAACACTTCTGGCACCTCACATGCTGCTTGTTTGCTTCCCTAGGGAAAGGCAGAGCTGTTTAAGTGACTCATTCCAAGTCTGTTCTACCCAGTGAAAATACATTTCATGTTTTTACCACGCAGATTTGTTTGTGGCTATGATTAAACCAGAGGTTCCTGTGTGCTTCAGCTTTGACCTTACATTATGACAGGAACAGTTTCAGGTACTGACAGAACTTAAGACAGATTTGCAAGTATTGGAACATTTGGACCAGGGAATGATCACACTGCACGCAACTTGCTGCTCTCTAATACCTGCAGGTGGCTGTGGCATCAAATAAACTGAAAGGATGTCTTAGAACATGCAAAGAACAGGAAACCTCATCCCCAAATCCTAGAATGGACTGGAAACACTCAGATACCAAACAGCCTAATCGTCACCAACAGTTGGGACTCTCAGAGCTGCTCCCAGTTGTAGCTTATTTGAGTTTAGTAACTGTTCCTGTAATCACTTTTAGAGCTCAGAGCAGGGAAAACTCTCCTGTTTCCATCCTACAGCCCTTAAGCTTCTGGTCTGAGCTCTGCCAAGCTGTTGTGCCTCCTCTCCCAGCCACTCTCCTCCTACACATCAGGAAACTCACACAGCAGTCAAGTGACTCTCTCAAGGTCACAATCAGAGTTATCTTAGAGTCAGGACTGAGCCCAAGATTGAGCCAAGATTGTTGCTCCCATCTGGTTCCCTGTGGCAATTCCATGGAAGCTGAAAAGATGAGGATTAAGCCCTAAAAGCAACATAAGTAACGACCAGGAGAAGACCAGAGCTGCTCCCCAGTCACAGAGCTACAAACACATCAGCACTTTCAGCAGGGATTAGATCCCAGCCCAGGAGCAGAGGCTGCCACAGGGACAGACCAGCACTGACACACCGAGCATAAAACCAGGTGAAATCTGATGTAAGTCCTTGACTAGAACAAAATAGCAACTTAACAACTATCCTGCAAGCACTCTGAAATCCAAACTTGTTTCCCATTGGAAAACAGGAACAAGGTTATGCTAAACTACAGAAAAGGCAAGAGAATGCAGAAGTTATCCGTGCTCTGCCCAACTCTTGCGATGGGGGAAAACACCCCAAACACAGGCAAAAACCTGAAACAGGAGAAATAAACTAACTTAAGGAGAACCAGCACCAAACCATCAAAGGAGGAGCCAAAGTCAGCAGCCCAGAGTGGGGCAAAGCACTGTCTGTGCCTCACAAATAGGCAGAAACGTGTTTTTCTTCACCTCAGTGTTTTGCTATCGGATCCCTTTGGTGTTTAGGGACCTGTGTGACAGCAATACCCACACCCCAGTCCAAATCACTTGTTTGCCTTTTTTTGCCTCTTCAGCAGTTCTGTGGCACAGCACACCACCAACCTGGAGTTTATTTATCCTCGCTGGAAGTACTAGCAGTGAGGAACAGTGACCTCCTGCAGCACAGCTCTGCCACAGTGCCC